CGGATTTGTGCATTGTAATCAAATTGCTGAGTTTGACCTTGTTAAATAAACTAAACAAGTGAATAAAAAATTTAATCGAGATATTTATGGAATTCTTCCTTATATTAGTTCAGATGTGCTTCATGGAAAGCCATATTAAAGTTGCAGATGTTTATAGTGTGTACGAGGTAGTCACAAGTGAACGACCATTTAGTGGACGAAGTCATAATAGATCTCGTATTCGACAGTTATCAAAGAGTATAATCTAAGATACTGAATATTGGTGCAAATTTATTGTTGGAAATATTGGGGCCTATTCAGAAAACTGACAAACTGCTAAAGAACTTGAACACTTTTCAAATATTATCTACAAATTGAACAATTCGAAGTGGAAACCGAATTTTCAATACCATATCTCTTTAGATTATCTTAAAACACATAAAGATGTTTTAAACCAGAAAAAGATAAACTTGATAAGGAGACAATATTGCAAGAAAAATTTCTACGAATATAGACAATTCTATGAGAAAATTTTATCCCGTAAACCTCTGTAACCACTAAGGCCCTGCAACTACCCGTGATTTGCAATTGGTAAAGCTCTTTTCGGGTCGGATTTGACCCGAACTCGACCAGACCCGAAATGTGCGTTCTGGGTCAGGTCACGGATTGGACCCGACCCGGTTGAAACACTACATAGCATAGAAAAGTTAAATTTGATTTGCATGAATTTAATAGGACCGTCTGTTCCAACGAGGATCGGACCGTTTCAATCCCAGGATGGATCGAAGGACTATCGATCCAGACCGGATCAATTAACAGTCCTAAGCAGAATAGGCATATAGGAAGCTTCTAGTGGTAATTACTTTGAATATTTGCTGTTATTTCTGTTCTTTCAATGTTTAGTAATACAAATAGTCATGTTACAAGTCACTCTCATTATATTGAACACTTGATATAGTGAACTTGGATTCAATAAAGTGAATTAATACAATCGACCCTGGTGATAATGAACCCCAAAACCTGTCTGGCTATAAGGAACTAGATTTGCGGAACTGATTTTTTTATAATTAACTGGGCTGGTTATACCAAACCAACTTAATAAATCTCTATATACCGCATCTGAACTTAATTCTGCCAACTCGCTATATTTGTATACATTTTGATATACTGAACAATCACGTAAAAACACATGAAAAACACATGATTACATTTATAGCAATTATATCGTTTTTAGTTTGTGTTATCTAACTCCCGCCCACCATGTTGCATATGCCATCCCACTTGTATTATATGACACTGTATCTTTATATTTTTAAGATAAGCTATTTATTCAAACTTTTTATTGCATTCTTCTATACTAATCTTTAATCTACTACAGTATCTTGGTAGTACACTCAATATTGTGCCTATGAAGTATAAGAAAAAATTCCAAACAGTTTGCTAAAGTGAGATATTCATTCGTTAAATTCCATTAAACTATATAGGAAATATGTATTGGATCTTTATCACTAAAATAGAAGATTAATTAGTTGGTATTATGACACATGTATTTAATTCTATTGGTCAGCTTTATATACTGAACTATTCAATATATAGAAATAAACTCTATAATGAACTCACACTATAACGAACTAAATATTCCAGAACAAGCAGTTCATTATAACCAGTGTCAACTGTATAATGAATTTTAAAATTTTTTTCTATAATCCAAATGGATTTATTTAATAAATAATATTTACTGAACAAACTAGAATTAGATAGAATTAGAAATATTCTATTTTTAAAAAAATCAAAATTTAAAATTGATTGTCATTAATTTAAGTAAAATATTAAACTAATCATCAACTGATAATTTAAATAGTTAATCAGGTCGTTAAGAATCAATTCATTTTACAATTATCAATAAAATATCCATATTTTATGCCAATTTTCACAAGATATATTAAATGAAATTATAATACCAAGTATAATAATAATTTATTGCTATATGTAATTCATCTCGGTAAGATTTCAAATATATGTGATAAACTGTTTGATTTCTTTTTAATTAGCGTTCCGAGCTAGATTTTAGTACCCGATTGATGGCTTGTGCTACACAGGATATTCATTTATTCTTCACATTTTTGGGAATTTAGATTGATGTACCTCATTTTGGAATTCTGAAATGACGCATATCAATTCAGAATTGACATGAATTTGTAACAATATATACGTATACATACAAGCTATAGATATTGATATTGATGTTAAATAATATAGGTATATAGATTGCAAGACAAAGCATATTATTTTATAAAAATATCGTCTCTCAATCTTTTTCCGATTCTAATTATTATAAAGTATAGAAAATTTAATCCTCGTTTATTCACAACCACTTTAAAATCACACTTTTTCTTTAAAAAAATGATTATATGGTTTACGACTATTTAATTAATTAACGTATCATTTTTAGAGTTAAATATACATAATGTCTCGAAAAGGTGGTGGTAGTTTATGATATTTTGCATCGCAAACAAAAAAATCGATTTTTACCATACTTGATATCATGTTTGACATTCAATTAACTTGACTGAAAAATAAACATTTTTTTGTTAATTATATTTTCTTTAATATCTTACAAAAAAATTAATATAAAGCTTGAAATTTAATAAATTTTTAATATTCATTTTACAAAAGAATTGCAACAGAAAATAAATATTCCGTTTCAATAAGGAATCTTGTACATAACTAAAGTAAAGAATAAAATATTATCCTAAAAAGAGGACTAAAATTTTATCAGTTCAAAATTTATTTGATTATGTTGTATAATTGTTTAGTATATCGGAGTATACCGTAAATGGCCATATAAAAGACCCCGGGTGGGTCTGTTACATTACACAGTTCAGAAACCTGTACTATACCCGGGGGTCTATTACATGGAAGGCGAACATCCACTATATAAACGTATTTTTTTTACTTTTAAAAAATGATTACATTTTTAACATTTTATAATAAACTTGGTTTTATTGAATTTGCTGTATTAATAGCCGAGATTTTGCACAGGTACAATACAGGAGGCTACTATTAGAGGTGATCTTTATGTGGCCATTTACGGTACTTTTTGAAGTTTGTAATAATAATGTATTTAAAAGCTATGCAATAAGTAAAATCTTTCTATAATCTCGTTTTTACAATTATCTTTAAGTAATATAAGACACCAAAAGCTCGTCTGCTGCAATCAAATTGCCATTAATCACATGATTTCAAATAATTAACACGAATAATTTTTCAAACCACTAGAATTTCAAAAATTTTGGCTTGATATTTAGCTTGTTAAAACCCAATTATAATTAGATTCCTTTTCTCAATGATTGAATCGCTAAAATTGCCGCGCGTGCTGAGAATGTTTGTGTATTCAACATGTGATTGATATATCAGCAAATTTCTAGTTTCACAAAATTTATCATTATTATTGAATGAAATTAAAAGATTTCCTTTAACCAAGTACAGTACATGTATTCCAAATTCATAAATTAATATTCAGACAAACCTCCTAAATGCCCCCCTTGGGATTATAGTAAAGCGTGCATTTAAAGAGGGTGTGCATTATAGAGTGCAAAATATATAGAGCTCTTATGAGCTGGAATCCAGCCATGCTATGCATTTAGAGAGGGTGCGCACTTATAGAGGGTGCATTTATGGAGGTTTGTCTGTACATCAAATTATCTAAGCTTTGTCGGGTTACAGACAAACCCTCTAAATGCACCCTCTATAAGTGCACACCTTCTCTAAATGCACAGCATGGCTGGGTTCCAGCTCATAAGAGCTCTATATATTTTGCCCGCCATAAATGCACACCCTCTCTAAATGCACGCTTTACTATGGTTCCAAGGGGGTGCATTTAGGAGAATTTGTCTGTACATGATAGTTAGGAAGTTCTAAACAGATGGAGACGGAGAAACTGTGTATTTGGAACAAGCATATCCTCATCTAAAAGCAACTATTTAACTATATGTTTAGATTTGCCATGATTGTGATAATACAACCAGCTTATATGTCTGCTATAGCAAATGTATTCGCACAATATTTCTTATACTTAGATAAAGCAAAGGACGTTGTGACATTGATTATTTGCATCCTAAGGAATACATTTCTGATTGGAATTTTTGGTAAGTGATTACATGTATATGGATTCACACGTCTAACATATTCTAAATCTTAAAATTCGTCATTAGGCAACTACGACTTTGTTCGTTAGCTGCAGTAGTTATCATCACAACTTACCATATTCTATCCAACAAATAAGCAAATAATATAAATCAAACTTTCGCAATTATAAAGATGGAAACATTGCTTACAACAATTCCTCAACTTATTAAGGATGAAAATACTAATTGGAAAATATGTTTCCTAGTAATAGGAATATTAGCGCACACTCTCTTTGACTGCTGCGCTTATTCCTATATATAGGTATAATCGATAAAGGGTAAAAGTTCCTTTTCAACGCTTTATTGCGATAAAATATTGGCAATTTTAACGGAGTTAGATAAGATATTATCGAGAATAAAATCGTGGTCTCATAAGTAATTGGATGGTATGATGCCTAAACTAATCCACATAAGAGGTATATGTATATGTCATACTGTATAACGATAACGATAAATGTATTCAACATTTTAAAGCGCAAATAAATTACATGTATATGTGTGAAGTTCTGCTGTATTAACTAATATAGAACCTGGTATTTGAATATTAAAACTGTCATTATAAATATTAAAATTTTCTATTCTCGACATATAACCGAAATCGTATGCTTATATAGTTTGTTACTTGAAATACTATTAGAATTTTTCTATTGCAAATGCTCGAGAACAATTAATGGTGTTCAGATGTAAGTACTATTACAGTCAACAATGTCAAACCGTTCCATAGTACTGTATTTCAAAAAGACGTTTCTGATTCCGGATTATACGTATATAGCGAGAGATTGCCATACATTATCCATTTTCATTATTAAATATAAATTTAAAAACTTAATTTATTTATGATTCATTTTCGTTAGAAGTATCTGAACTTCTAATTTCATTGTTAAATTTATCTGCATTCGAACCTTCCTTAAAATAATCCGAGTTTATTACTTTTTGTATTGTTGGGCGATTAATTGGATTCCAATCCAACATTTGTAAAATAATACTTGCGTCTTGCTTGTGAAAAATATTACGATGAACATTTTTTGAACATGTTGAATTGCGCAAGTCGTCGAAATCATCGTAAATGCGTTTATTCGTGTGAATGAAATAGAGAATGCAGCCCAAGCTAAATATATCTTGAGCGGAGCTAGCTTGGATAGTATCGGTATGTTGTACGATCTCTGGGGCACTAAATCCACATGAGCAAAAGTCATTGGATTGCAAATAGTCTCCGAAATTCTTTGCCGATTCGAGGTCACACAGGCGTATCTTATACACGTTGTTTGGCCTACAAATAATATTTGTAGGGTTTAAATCGAGGTGCTGAAAAAGAATTGAGATTTTAATTACAATATGTTGAATTATAGTAAATAGCATAGTTTATACTTACAGCAATTTTTGCACCATGAAGAAATTCAATTGCTTTAGATATGCTTAATAATATTTGCTTTTTTGCAATTGAATCTTTAAATATAAATTTGTTGGTTTCCAAATTGTCTCCAGCATAGGAGGTAATAGACACAAAGCCTTCTAATGAATGGTTGATTTCCATATTTAACCATTTTACGACATATTTCGACTTTAAACTGCAAAGAAATTTCCTTTCATTTTCCCACGAAGATTGGCGCGCAAACACTTTTATTATTACCTGGTCCAAGTTACAATAAATATCGTGGCCTTTGTATAATTGATTTCTATATTGATCAGATTGCCTAGTCGTAAGACCATTATTTTCAACCGGAGCTAATATTAAATATCTTGAGCAGACAATTTTTCCATAATTTTCGTTTATAGCGCTGTCAGGTGATGAAGACGAACTTGCTGAGGAAATTGTGCTACGCTGCGAAATAATGCTACGCCGGGAAATTGTGCTATGCCGCGAAATACTGCTACGCTGCGAAATTGTGCTACGCCGCGATTGTGACGTTTTAACTAGATGTTTTAATAAAAGGATAGCGATAGGTATATTAGTGATGATGAAGCATGTTTTAACAATAAATACATGATAAAAAATAATCAGTACATTGGCTAGATTCTTTATTATTTTGCTTTTGATTATCGTTATTGTTGTTCTCGTTAAGTGCTTCATTGACAATAGAATTTCTTTGTATTTGACTTGGTTCTGCAGCTTGATTTTCTTTTGGTTTGTTTATATTATTCTGCTCTACTGGAGACAATCAGATCAAAAGTATTAATGGCATATTAATGAATATAATTTTATTATACTTTTTGTAAATATTTCTATTTCTGATTTTGTTTCAAAAAAAAATACAATCATTACGTTGGCCGAAATCATCATTAGGATTATTGTTGCTCTCGTTAACGTTAAGATTTTCCTGTGTTTCTTGAATGATCTGTTCGAAAGTAGTCAAAGCATGAAAAGATACTTTGAATTTTGTATAACCAGCAGCGAGGCCGTTCTCTACAAATGATAGATTGCCAGCTACGTTCGATTGAATCAATAATGGATTAGCTTCATTTTTAGAGAAAACAACAAGCGAAAAGGAAAAACAACTTTTAATTGTTCCCGTTTGCATCAATTTTTGCCAAGTTTCAGTAGACTTGATTTCAAATTCTGATTTTGCAAAGTCAGTGAGTAGTGGACTGTATCGATATTGAATGCATAGTTTTATCTTCTTGACGGTCAGATTGAATGATACAGAATATTCACAAGTTTCCGGTGACATTTTCCAGTAGTTCTCAGTCGTATGCTTTTTAGTCCCCCCGTTGAGAATGAATTCTAGGTTTCCTTTTTCACGCATTCTTTGGCTGCAAACATGAAAACAGATACCTAAATACAAACAAACTGAATTATTACTTCATTGATAACTTATTCTTACCAAGTAATGCTTTTCAATAATAATACGCCGCCTATCTTGTTATTCGACGAAGAGCCGTCGTGTAAGTTTAGGTCAGCATTTCTTGGTGGATTCTATGGCATTTGATTTAAAACAAATTATTAATTAATGATTTTATATTTGTAATTTAATTTCAAAAAAATTTACTTACTCCAGAGAGAAAATAAATATCAAAAGCTACTTCTCCGACAGGGTTTTCATGTTTGACCAATACTAAATTCACTGTCATTATAGTGAAAAAAATTATGGTAAATGAGGCACAATAGCATTGTTCGTAAGCGTATTCAATAGAGATTTACCTTTCGCTTTTTGTCCTTTGTAAGAACTTAATTTTATTACAGCTTTCCCAAATGATCCATTATTACCGCCTTTACTCATATCGTAACATTTTACATATAAACTATCTTTTATCGGAGGCGACAATTCCAAGATCAAGTGCTCAGACCAAACAGCCTCATTCTTTTTACTACTAAAATATAGAATATCATACAATGATCATATATAACTGAACTGTACTGTACCGTGTCGTGTATGTACTTACAGCTTAGTTTCTGTAGTCATGCATCTTTTATTATCATCGTTATTATCGATGCTAAATTGTAATTTTGCTTTGATATTAACGTTAGTTTTTGCTGATAGTCTACAGAATAAAAGATATTTGCTAAACACTTGATAACGATGAATTTAGCAATATGTTTGTTTTATTCGATAAAAACCTGATGGATTTGATGAGCAAATTTGCTGGTCCTTGATTACGAGAATGCGACATTATGAATCATAAATTAATATTCCAAGGACCAAATCTTTTTCAGCTATTGCAATTATTATTCTTATAACAAGTATTCAAATACGTACCGGTATATATCGATATGAGTTTCACAAATTTCTTAAAATGACAAATATGAATGACAAGTTAACGATAAGTTATCGTTATACATGTACAAACTGTAGCAGCTACGTATTCAAATTCTGCATATGTAGTTGTTCTACAACCATTTACATGTATCATTTATGCCAGGTTCTTGTTCAAACAGGTAAGTTTCAAGGATTATACGTTCATGCCGTAGAAACCATTTTCTTAACAAAACCGAAATCCCGTAATTAATTCCAAAATTATTTAAGCTTATTTTAATAGTATCCGAAATTATGTATCCATAATATAAAACATATTATATATTCAAGATTATTTGAATTGCTTGTGGAAATTACTTTTTTCAAAAAATAGTTTTTACGGCATGTATAAACGTGTATGTTATACAGGGAACAGGGGCCCAGAAATCTAGATTTCATAAAAATTCAATTTTGCTAGCATTATGAAATTGAAATATAATTCAAACCAAAGCACATGATTAATGAACAACTTTAAATCAATAATCAATCAAATCAATCAAACTGTGATGTATAGCCAATCAAATCATTGTAATCATGTGATTATATTGTTGACAACCTCCAAAAATTTGGCTAAACTCAAAATATTTAAAAAATTTAATGGGTCCCTGACAGGGAAGATTGTTATTACATATTATGTTTTCGAACTGAGATCAAGAAAAATATAAATATAATTTTATCAAATTATGAATTGGTTTACTTAAAAGCCAAAATTAACAACAGAGGACAAAAAAGATAAATCTAACCCTGAGCTTAAAAACAAACTGTTGTCCTTGGAATTTAGTCAATTGCTAAAAATATATTCGTCTACCAGTTTTATACGCTTTAAATAATACACTGGAACATTCAAATATTTGTAATCGTTCCAGTGGACAAGAACTAATCACACACGACAAATGTTCGGGTTAAAATTAATTCGTATTAACAGCTTATTTGTGTAAGAATAGTAGCATGAAAGTAGAGAAAAAATGTACAGTATAAACTTTCGTTGACTATTTTAATAAAGAAAGACTTTATCTTGAAAGAATGATATATTTTTATTGAAAGTTATAAAGCTTTTTTGCTTTAGATTTATTTGAAGTTAATTTCTTTAAGCAATTCATCTTGCCGAAAAATGGAACTCCGTGAATGTCTTTAAGGGTAATCAAAGGCAATGTTTATATCCCGATAAAAGCTATTATATATCGATATAATTCGAAACATTATAACACTTAGATACGTTCATAAATTTCAATATTGCTGTAAAATGTTAAATTGAGAGAATGTTAATAGACATCGTTAATTTGAGTGTGACTTCAATATAGTGATCTGTGAATAAAAGTCGTTAACTCGCGATTTCATTAAATTGCATAGTCATAAAGTTTAACAATAAAGATACATGTATCTCTTATGTAGATCAGTTTTTCATTCTCGATAATATCTTGTCTAGCTCCATAAATAACTGCTAAACTTTCCAATTTTCTATCGTCAAAAAGAGTTGTGGTCACCGTAAAAAGAACTTTTACCTCATCAGGTAAAGTTTGAGAATTTCTTTGTCTATCTCCATATCGATCATAAGGAAAAATGGTATTGACTCAATAGATGCAAATAAACCCAAAAGCATATTTAACTTAATCTAGAAATCAAGTTTCACTAAACATTTTATTTCGAAATTTAAAATCTGATCAACTAACATTTACCCGTTTCTATTGCACTTGGCCCATTTTTTGACCTATGTATATACTCGAATATCCGTAAGTCATTCAGCTCGGTTCTCTTATTAGTTGCAACTTCTTTCCCTTGGCAGACTTTGTAGAAGTGTTTCAGCATGTGTGGAGTTCGATTTTGTATTCTTCATAGAGTACTTTGATAGACTTGACGACATTTAGTATAATGATCTTGACTTAGCTACAGGGTTGGTAGGCTCTCCAATCCAATAAAAATCTAGTGCCAACCTACTTGGCTACCCAATCAAATTTAGCATACCAACCACAACTACATGAACTACATGTACATATCGTTTAATTCTCTGTTCGGGTCGGGTTTGATCCGAAAATTGCAAAATAGTTTTTGGTTAATAACTTTTATTTTTACTAAGATACTTGGATTTTATGTCTTAAGTAGAGTTGATCGGAATGTATATGTTCACAAATTTTCGTTTAATTTGAATTAATATTAACGAGAAATAATATCTCGGGTCGGGTCACGGATTGGACCCGACCCGGTTGGAGCACTAATCCTGTCACTATTATCATGTACATTAATATGCACATTCACCAAAGATAGAAACAACCACATCAATAGCAGCTAAATTATACTGAAGAACTATTTTCATAGAAAAAAATTGACATCGAAATACTGGAATTGTATATTTTTTATCATCTTTCATTTTTTATGTCACTCCTACTATCGCTAATATACCTGACGAAACTATTTTTATAATGACGAAAGGTTTCGTTACATTCATCGCCGGACGAAACTCATGACGATTGACGAAACCTGTGACAAAACCTTCCAACTAATCAAAATAATAGCTTAAATCACATGCACAAAATGATTTCCACTATTGTAAAAATGCCTCCTAAGATGTCTGCAACCAATGACTTCATGTTATCCGAGGATTACTCGAATATTTGTGACAAATATGATTATTCGAATCCAACCTTTATGCATCGTGGTGAGCATCGATCATTCCGAATTTTGAAAGAACTATGTCATTGAAAATCTAGTATTTGATTTGCTGAAGGCCCCGGACTATCAAAATTTGGCCAGCATAATGAAAACTTAAGAAAATAGACCTATATAACTCTGGTAAAAATTATGCAGACAGAAAAACTAAACTGAGAAATTGATTTAATCTATTGTTTTCACAGTTTAGTTTGCCAATTTGTCATTCGTCAGACGATTCGTTATTCGTCACACGATTCGTCATTCGCCACTTACATTTCCAAAGTGGTCATGGCGAAATGTATTTTTTAATAATGTATCTGAATAAATCTATTGGTACATAGTGTTTCATTACACATAACCATAATATGCATAACGTTAAAATGAACACTTCAATACATATAAATCTTTAAAACAATAGATTCTTGTAATCACGTATGCGTTTGAACAAATACATTGTAAGTATCTTTAGAAAATAACGTAGGGATAGGAATCGATCCTCTAGAATCGATTAATTTAGAATCGATTCTGAGAATCGATTAATTTTTGTAGAATCGAGGAAATCGATTCTTAGCATCGATTAATATTTGAGAATCGATTAAAATTTAATAATCGATCACACTTTGAGAATCGATTTTAACGTTAAAGACAAAATCGATTAATAACGATAATATATAACGGTAAGTTGTGTACATGAATACATGTAATTGGAAATCATGATTTTCACTTGTTAAAACATGGTACACGACAAACTACTCTGCCATTCAACAAAAATGTTTATATTGACAATGGTTTCTTGGTTATTATTAATATTAAGTTCAATAACTCTGATAGTAATACTAATGCCAAAAGTAACTGATATTGATCCAAATTTGAATGATATTTATGAAACAACAGAAATACACGTAATGAAACGGATACGGAATCTCAATCTAATGACAATACTTCAATTGCTTCTTTACACGTAGATCACTACGAATTCAACTAATCAAAGCATAATTTCAACTAATCAAATTTATAATTTCAACTAATCAAAGTACAACTTCAACTATTCTAACGAAAAGGGAAAAAAATCAACATGCAATGAAAAACAAACCAAAAACCAGTTATGCCATCGATTGCTGTCGTCGTCGTCGTCAACGTCATCATCGTCGTAATCTCTGCTTGAGAATCGATTCTCAAATTGAAAATCGATTAATCGAATTTATTTAAAACGATTAATCGAAATTATTAATTGATTTTAGAATTGTTTCTGGTTTGAGAATCGATTCATATCCCTAGAAGAATAAATTATAATTCACCGATATATTCATTCTTCCCCCACCGAAAACATCATTTGGAGTCAACAAGTACAATTCCTCCTTGACCCTAAATAAAGAATCATATGCTACAATTTGAAAACCAACATTTTTTTAATATCGATATGATTACGTACGTACGTAGATCATTAATTAATGTTATACATGTACGTACATAATGATAACAATAAACCTATTTTAATGTACATGCATTTATTTGGGAGTTGGCTAAAGCGTTGCGAGTCCGGTGATCCGTCCGAGAAACGAGCCAATAATAATGCGTAAATTTTTGATCAACCCGGAAAAACAAATCTGAGGCAGTTTTACATATATGGTACATAACATCTAAAGTCATCAAACGTTTGCATTTTATAAAATGTATAAATTTCTTTACTAAGAAATAAATACAAAATTTAAACCGTGAATATGATAGAATAGGCCTTTTCTGAGCATATTCACGGATTAAATTTTGTATTTACTTCTTAGTAAAGAAGTTTATACATTTTATAAAATACAAACGTTTGATGACTTTAGATGTCATGCATCATAATACGTACATGTATAATTGATGTACGTAATGTTTCAGACGAAATTATCTTTCAAAATCCGAAACCCAAATATCTTGTAGGGAAACTAGTTTCACTAAATTCTGAATGCTTAAATTTTTCGTATTGGTAATAAACAGCGATATGTTCTATACAAATTTACCTGCCTTCAAATATCTTTCAATATGTTTTGTTACGAGATAGCAAATGACAATTTCAGTAATCTAACCAATAAAATGTTCTCTAATTCTTCGCAAATTTTGATTACTGATTGAAGCTTGTGGCGCATTAGCTGATTGATTTTATTGTTTGTATCAAGACGTTTAGGCAAATAAATATATTCATATCGTTGTTATACTGTTAAAGTCGTATGGTATCTTTGTAAGTGAAATAATTTTTTGACTATTTAATAACTACAATAATTTATTCATCGTAAATATTCGTTAAAGCACATACAATATTAGGCGTACGATATTTATAGTACGAGACATAATGTATTTCTTCTCTTTCTTACCTTAAAAATATATTACCTCTTGAATGCATTTTCTATAGATTTTTTCTATAATTAATATATCTCAATTAACTGTGTTTATTTGAAAAAAATTTAACCGAATATCTCAATAAATTTCGTTCTTTTGTCGCCTCTGGTTTAACGAGATACACTGTATTACATTATTTAATGACAACAAACAGTTTATATCGACTGGGTTGATTTTTTAACGTTATCACTATTACAATAATCTTGCTTACCAGTCAGGTGATTTGTCACGCCGATCACTATACGAATGTGATTACGTATAAAATACCACTACGTACATGTATTAAAAACACATACGTGAGTAACATTTCTGGAAGTAAAAATCCGAACCATTTCTATGTTTCGTGCGAAAAATAATTTGAAAATGAATAAAATTATTTCAAACTTATCTTTCACTAGTCTGATTATAAAACCAAATCATCATCAAAAACGAGGACTAACCGAACCAATTATTGAAGAAATATTTAGTTGTTTTGATAAAACGATTCATTCTTCGCGGGATTTAAATGATGCTGCAAATAAAATGCAAAAAATTATTGACGAATTAACAGAAAGCGCGCTTGAATGTGAAAAATTCTTGCAAATCATAAAGTCGAATATTCAATATAATGTTTTGTATGGGTTTTTATATCATTTTGGGATAAAAATTGAACAGAATTTTGAAATTGCTTTTAAATTTTATAAAAAATCAGCAAAGAAAAATCATGCTATCTCTCAATATTTACTCGGATTTTCCTACTATAATGGAGTTGGCACCCTTAGTAATAGAAGTAAGGCTTTTAAGTGGTTTTTAAAATCAGCAGTAGGGGGAGATGCTCGAGGACAGTATAATCTTGGTTTCTGTTATCAAAATAGTATTGGGACGCAGAAAAATGAGAAAAAAGCTTTTGAGTGGTATTTGAAATCAGCAGAAGGTGGAGATGCTAGTGGACAAGCTAATCTTGGTTGGTGTTATCGAAAGGGTATAGGAACACAAAAAGATGAGAAAAAAGCATTTGTGTGGTATTTAAAATCTGCTGAATCTGGGTTTGATCTCGCTCAATTCATATTGGCTGAACAATATCAATACGGATTTGGAGTTTCAAAAGATCTTTTTATGGCGTTGAAATGGTACAAAAAAGCTTATCAAAACGGTTATAATCTAGCAGGGGAGCTTGTCAAAAACAACATATTTATTTTATGATAATTTTTTATTAGCTGCTAATTTAGTACATTTGATTTTTTATTTTTTAAAAAAATTATTAGATATTAAATAAATATATTCACTTATGATTAACCTTTATTTTAACACATTTACCTTTCATAAATCATAGATATTAAATAAGATTGAATTTTTTAGCAATATAATATATAGACAACGTGATTTTATAGGTTAAGCTCTTTACAGTAATAGTTATAAAGCTAGCAATGCATAATAAATCTTCTATACTCTGTTTTGCCATTTCCGAATTCAAGTTGTAAAAAATAAGCAAAACGTGAAGTCGGCCAGATTTACGTAAAACAGTCAATGCCAGAGAAATTCTACATTTTGGTGAGGATTTGAACCTTTAAAATTCCGTGTTTACGTATTGGCTTTTTATTGGTATCAAATTTCTGACCGCATAAGAATTGATCGAATGTTAGCGTTAAAGAGATTAATAAAATTCATGATCCCGTGCAACCATAAATTGATCCAAGATATTCGAATCTTTCATAAGAGGGATACTTTCTGATTTTTATACATTCTTTTAGACTGTCGATATCTAAACCATTCATCTTTCAAGTAGATGGAGGTGAAAATAAAATATCCATGGTAATACACATTTTTTGATGTATTAAAAGACGATGTACGTAGAGTGTATCGTTTTTAAAGAGTGGACATGCATAAAAGGAAAATATTGGTTTTTATAACGTCTTGCGTACCTGTATGACGAACACTCATGAACAGAAATATTAACGTTAACGTAATACTAACATTAATGTTAGATTAATAGTAACGACGACAAATTGCTAGGATTAAGAAAGTAACAAAATGAAATTGCTGTGTTTTTTATTATCGTTATCGTTATACTGTATCGGTACTACCGATACGTATTCTAAAAAGTAGATTTTCGAGAACCATTTTATATTGATATATGTATAAAATAAATAATTACAAATAAGCATAATTTCTATTTTCTTCCAATAAGCGTAGTATTTTTCTTGTAACGGTAAGACACTCTATTCTTTGATTACATCTAGCTCGTTGATCTCATTCTCTTTAATTTCGTGTGGTTGTGTATTTAACGTTAACGTTAAATCGAAATCTGTTTTACAACACCAAAGAAAATGATATTGGATTAAAGAAGTCAATGAAAAACAATATTAAATATAATTTTACCTTCGTTTGGAACAAACAAACTGACACTTGTTAACCCTAAACATTCGATATGAATTTAATTGATATTAAACGTCAATGTGATTCATATTTAGAAATAAAAAATACCTGTGTTAGTTATTAATTTTGAAGTAAATATTCGACTGGTGTAAATTGCATTGGAGTGGATTTGTTTTTTGCTCGTATTCGTAGGAATGCTCTTTGGTAATTCCATCTCCTTATCAAGTTTATCTAATTTCTGCTTTTCTAGTTGGAGACACTCTTTAATTTCTTCATGTGTTTTAGGAGATTCTAAAGAACTGTAGTACTGAAAATGCAAAGTATTCAACTTTGTCGTATATCCATCTAAGATAGATATGATAAAGTAAAAAAGTTTCTCGGCAGTTGGTCTGTTTTCTGGAATAGGATCCCAACATTTTTCAATGATAAATTTGCACCATCCAGGAACATTATTTGGTATTGTAGGTCGTACTCCGTTATAGATGTCTAATACGAGATCATTACTATGACTCCGCTCACCAAATGGTCGTTCACCTGTGGCAATCTCGTACATAATCATCCCAAAGCTATAAATATCTGCAGCTTTAGTGTATGGCTTTTCATTTAGAACCTCTGGACTCATATAAGGAAGTACTCCGCAAATTTTTTTATCAGATTTTTCTATATCTGCTGGGCTGGTAAGTCCAAAATCAGCAATTTGAGCTTCAACATGCATTAATATATTTCCAGGATGAAAGTCACGATGCACAAAATCCTTATTGTGAATTTTATTCAACCCACTAATGATGTCAATTAAATAATTTAATTTCTCTTGCCAAGTCAGTGCTTCGTAGTTGGAGTTCATATATTTGCATAGATCGCCATCTTTTGCATAAGTCATCACCATCGAGTATTCATTTGTAGCTGGGTTTTTAGTTATTCCATAATATTGAATATAGTCATTAATAAAAGTGCACTTTAGAGCAGTCTGAATCTAATTTGAAAAAGTTCATTAGATTGAAAAACAAAAAAGCAATATGCTTACACTTAAAAATGTTCACTTTACCTCGTTTATAAACTCGTATGTAATTTGCTTTGAATTGCGTAATGATTTCAACACAACGTTGAGTTCTCCATGTCGTTTGAATCTATTCTCTATATGATCCCATCCCTTATGTTTATCTAATGGACCGTCCAACCAGGTTGCTTTATAAATTGATCCAAAACCTCCTTTTTCAAGATATTCAACATTGGTAAATCTTTTAAAAGGAATCCATTCAAATACATCATCGTCATTGCATTTATTTATTAGACTGACGATATCTTTATTTCCACTAGACTCAACATAAATTCGTTTGTGATATCGAAAACATCCATCACAGTACTCGTTTCCTTGACATTTAGTACATTTACTACAATCATGATTATTGTGAACTGAACACTCATCGCAGTAGTTGTTATCCTCTTGACAATAATCACATTTACTACAATCATGAGTTTTAGATGCCATCTTTGAGTTTATTAGTGATTATAGCAGTGTTTTATTTAAAAACCGATGATTTATGTGGTGTGGAAGTCGTCGTTCATATGTGTTTGTAAAACGATTTATGAAAAATGATACAGGGGAACACGACGTACGCCCACAACGTGCATTAAATGAAGAAGACTAAAACGGGAATTAAAATGAATACGTAAAACTCGAAACGTTAACGTTAACGATTTTATGGTTTTACAATTTGCTAATCTTACTACGTATAATCGATATACGTATAACATGTACATGTATAATAATAATTGATAGAGGCGAACTTTGTAACCGCATATCATACATCCAAGTCCAAATATGTTTTACCGTTACGTTTTACGCGATAATTTGTGAATCAACGCTCAATATATTTGAAAATTTGTATTTACCGTTACTGTATTTAGAAATTAAATAGAGCAATCTTTTTTATTAATAATATTTGTTACATTAAAACTTGGTATTCTGGCCGATTTCTCAAAGTTCATAAATGACCATTAGAAGCTGATAGAATAATCATTTGCACCAAAATCCCACAAAATTTGGCCATATAATCTAATTATATGAACAAGTTTAATTATTACGTCAATAGAGGTTTTATTAGTAAAAAAATGGACTTTTCATAATCCAAAAATTTATTTTATTTTATTTTATTTTCGTTTCGGGTTGCTATCAAAACCCGAACCGTGCGGAGTAGAAATTTTCAATTTTCATATATAAAGCGTAGCGTGGGATAAAAATTTTTTCACTTTCCAATCAAAACAGTCCTAGCATTTTAAATTGCCACAAGTCTTGGATTATTTTTTCAAAAATACAATCAATTAGCTTTAAAATTTAGATATATACATAGCTTGAAAATTTACATTTTTATATGTTTTATTATATAATTTTGGACCGGGCGTTAT